TTAGGCCTTCGGGTTTAGGGGTTTAGGAGTTAGGGTTTAGGGGTTCAGGGTTTAGCTGTTTAGGGTTCAGGGAATTGTTTTTGCAGAGGTCTGAAAAGTTGGTAGTTGTATTCCCTTTCCAATAAATAGTCCCCATATAATCAAGAGATCTGGATAACTAGTTAAAGTTGTAATTATTCCCTTATTACAAAAAGTCCCTGTAAAAGGTCTGAACAGTTTTAGTTGTATTCCCTTAGTAATAGATAGTCCCGACAAAACAGAACTAGATCATCACGTACGCCAAGGCTGCGTAGCTCTTTTCCACAAGTGTTGGCGTCAACAGAGTCTCGCTGTCTATCGTGGCTTGCTTTTCGTCCGGCATACAAATTACCAGTTGTATGACATTCGATGCTACCGAACCCTGAGTCACTGAGATGTAGTCAGAACCATACTCCAACGTGTAGCTGAGGTCCGAAGATAACCCGACAGTGCTGGGATTGCTGTGCGGCTCTTAGATTCTGGGCTTCCGATATTTCAAGATGCGTGTCAGCGGGGATTGGCGGTCTGTGGTCCTGCAAAGGAGACTCCGGCTCGTTTAGGTTGTGCTAAAGCCGAGCAAAGATGAGCATGGACGAAGTAGTGCTGTAACTTGCTGACGAAAAGGCTTGGCCATCGCCCTTCTGCATGTGTGTGTGTGTGTGTGTTTGTGCGCATGTGTGCGCGCTTACTGTGCCACCTACAGCCCATCGACCCATCTATGTATCGACTCAGCCATCCATCTATCCACCAGTTCCTGGCTACACTATGTGAGCAAGTTATTCAGCGATGGGCATTTGGGTTACTGGGACCGCCATCATGATTCCGAAATGTTTGTCCTCAGCTTATAAGCCCAACTAATCCCTGTGGGCTCAACCCCTGGAAGTTTTTTCCCAAGGCTCTCCCCCGTGATTTACGTCGGAGAGGAATGGCGAAATCGCCTTCGCGAAGTGGCGGAGAAGACAAGCAACAGGCCGAAACTTGGGCACCCTGAACTTCCCTAAGCCCTAAACCCTAAAACCCCAAACCTAAAACCCTAAAGCCCTAAACCCTAAAACCTTAAAAGCCTAAATCTTCCCTAAAGCCTATGTCAGCCCGAGACCTTCGCTGCTTCTCGTTTTTGTCCAAGAACTCCGGGTTTCAGGAGCTTGTGAGTTTAGGGTTTAGGGTTTGGGGGGCATCTTTGGATAGTGGCTGCTTCAGGCTTGGAAGTCGGACAACGCTAGAAGATCCTATAAGTCCTGAAGCCCATTCTAAAAAACCGTCATGTAGCCCTACCCCACAGGTAGGACTATCTAGGATTTTGTTGTGTGTCCGGGTGGAATAGTTGGCTACCATTCCTTCTTCTGGTGATTCTCTGCTGGTCAGGCAGCGCTTGATGCACCACTGGTACAACCACGCGCGGCGTAACTACCAGAGCTACATTCTGAACAACGATACACCTCTGCGAAAAAGCTTCTGGGATGCAGTCTAAACCTAAGCTCCGTAATCCCGAAACCCACAGAGCCTTACTAAAGATAAGCACTAGGTTCTCGGCTGAGAGGGAGGTTTGCTGTTGAGGTCTCCATAAGGACTCGAGCGTTCCGCTTTTGACAGGCATGCAGAGGATTCACTGACGTGTGTTTATCCGCTAGCAGCCTTGCAATATCTTATAACTCAACCAGACTATTTCTGGGTAGTCATTGCAACATTCGGTTGACTACCACCGCATGTTAGGTTTGCGTTGGGCATTCTGCAAACACTGAACACCCTTTGAGTCAGGATTGGGCCTTTTGGATAGCTGAATTTCATGTCTGGTCCAGCAATACTCCTCGATTCAAGCATTTTGGATGTTTCGGTGTGGTTTCAAGATCTGACGAGGTGCTGAGTAAACGCTCGCCAGTGTACACACTGAACTCCTGCGCTGTTGCCGTAAATCCTTCTGTGGCCGAGACCGTAGTTAACACCAGTTGAACCCAGGATACGTCCACGTCTTGCGGCGTGATGCTCAGACTGGGTTTCTTTCAGCTGAGGTTGCGGGTTCGGGTCCGACCCTACTTCGTCAGATTTCTCTATTTGCATACAACCATTTAACTTTACACAGGCTTACATATACATGGTATGCTTAGTTATATTTGTAGAGATTGCATCCGTCGGTATCTATGCAGCACGTGTGTCTAATACAGGCCTGCAAGCATGCATGCACATGTATGCACGTGCTGACACATGCAAAACAACAAGACACAAAGACGAACAAACAGATAAAAACACCACGATACACCTGTTCATGTAATCTTTGATGGTGGGTGAGCATGCAGAGCCTTCTATTAGACACAGAAAAATACAGGAACCTACCTATAGTCTCCATTGTAGTTCCTTTTTGGGGATACCTTATAAAATCCTTATTATTATATATTTGGTTAAACCAAAAAAGGAACTACACTGGAGACTATAGGTATGCTTCAGGGTTTGGTATCGGTTTAGTTTGTTGGGTGCTTAAGGTTTATGCAGGAGTTCCGGGCCTGTCACTAACTCGACACAATCGTGCTTAAGCTTTTCTGTGTCAAGTCGTCGTGACCTGGCAGTAATGTACAGTAGGGGCCTAAATAATTACCAATACTAGTTTGGAGGTTCCTTGCTTTGTTCCGGTTTTCGCCGGGGGAGGGGGGGTGAGGGGGGTCTGATGACGTGCTTGGGAAGAGACGTTCTCCTTGTATGCTTTCTTTTCTTCGTTGTGTTGTTCCGGTGTTCGCGTCTTTTCTTCTTTGTTTTGTCGCTGCTGTTGCTCAATACAGACAGTGTGGTCGTAGCTGCGGAGTGCCCCGGCGCAGTTCTTCCAAGAGGATACTGTGGCATTGTAGCTCCGGCATGCCTTATCAGCGTCTGTCTCTCAGGGTGGCTTTTCTTGACCGTGTAGTGCCGCGCTAGCCTCTGCATGCGACAGTATTTACAGTACGATCTTGTACATGGCTTACCCCTAAGGAAAACAGCATGCAAGTGTGTGAGAACCCGTTTTTACCGGCTCAGACGCATTTGAGCCGATCAAAGCAGGGTGTCACGCACTTGCACATTTTCTGAATCTCTGAATATGTGCCATTTCTCGTAAAAAAATGAATATCAACTACTCTCAATCTTCTGCCTTGGACAATAAACGTGCCAAGTCTACTCCAAGAACATGCATCGCACAATTTCAATATTTCAGCGCCGCAAATGCGTGTCCTGCTTCCAAAGCGAGCTCTGGTCATCTCACACTGTGGGTGTGAAGCCTTCCCAGAGGCTCCAGATATAGTACAATTATGGAATTAGGTCCCAAAAGACCATCCCTATTAAGGTTTTAGGGACTTATAAATTCCGTAGTGGTTCTATATCTGGCGCCTCTGGGCTTCAGAGCCCTGATTAATGTACAACCGTCCTCGAATCAAAGATGTTGGCGGTCATCATGCAAGGAATGCTCTGGTAGAAGCGTGTTCACGAATGTAAGCCCCTGATTAAGAAGCCCCCGGAGATTACAGCAGGGATCCTATCAAGTCTACAAAGCCTAAACCTTAAGAAATATTACCCCGAACCCCAAGACCCTACACTAAGTCCTGGAGTATTTTAGAATGCCCAACAGTCCGTCCACCCCGAAGAGCCGCGGATCCTGGGTGTCTTCGGAAGAAAGGTTACCTTTGGGGCACGAAAAATGTAGTAAAGCCGGTTTGGGTTTGGATATGGGTAGTTCTCCGAACTAGGGTTCCTTTTATGTCCTCTTATAAGGGTGCCGTGCTATATTTGGGACCTAGAACGGGACCCTAATTTGGAGAACTACCCACATAGTATCTCATGGAAAAACCAGACCTTGTGAAGCAATATTAAGTAGGAGTGCAAGTGGACGTAGGATTCCTTTATCAACTTTTTCTGAAATTTCCACCTGCACTCTAGCATACCCTGGAACCTGCATTCAAGGTTCAGGCAACTGTATTTCCTAAACCCTGGCATAGACTTCCGCCCCAAAAATGCAACATGTCCTTATGGCAGGGCCCACGCCTTAAGACTCAGCTTATCCAAAAGAGATCGGACTGTTTAGCGGTGCACTGCATTCCGACATCCTTATGTCTTCCGCGGTTCAGTGTGGTCCAGTAGCAAGTATTGTATTGCTATTACCGCCACTTCTAAACCCTAAACCCTAAACCCTAAACCCTAAGCCAATGCTATGTATTGAAGCCCTAGAACTCTGAGCCTTCAAAGCCCGAAACGCTAAAACGCTAATTTTTTTTCCTCCCAGCACTACGTTGAGCGACGCAAAACCCTGAAGCCGTAGATCCTAGAGGCCCTGAGCGCCTACAAGCCGCCAAACCTTAAACACTCTCAAAGCCTGTAAAACCTTTATGGGTAGTTCTCTAAATTAGGGTCCCCTTTAGGGTCCTTTTTATAAGGGTGCCGTGTTATGTTGGGGACCTTAAAAAGGGACTCTCATTTAGAGAGCTACCCTTATGAAGCCTTATTAAACCCCCCCTTCTGGAGCCCAGAAAACCACCCTCTGGCCCACAACCCTAAACCCTAAACCCTAAACCCTAAACCCTAAACCCTAAACCGTAGGCCGTTGTTGAGCATCGCTTGGCAGAACGAGCATGGAACAGCAGGGCCCTTGGCGCATCCACAGAGCTTCCCTGACGGTTGAACCCTAAACCCTAAATAACCCTAAATCCTAAACCCTAAACCCTAAACCGACTGGAATTAAGCCTTGGGGCCCTCAGCCCTAAACCTTCTTAAGCTTTGGGGGGTTTGGAACATGGTGTCGGAGTCTAGGCCCTTAGGGCGCTATGCTTGGGGTCTACACTTTAGCAAGGTAGCAGCGTGCAATTTCGCATTGCGCTCTTCAACGTTTGTTTTTTTCCTGATGTTTGCATGGTTGTGAGGCATGAAGGGTTTACTGACGTGGAGAAGTGCTCCTGGATGACTTACGTACAGGGTTTCATAGGGTTTCAACTTATAGGGAAGTCGCAGGGTTGGGGTGTACTTGCAGCCGGTGGGTCACAGTCGGAGTCATCGGGTCGCTATTCTGACGACTCTAGTATGACATACCCCAAAGCCCTAAATCCAAAACCCCAAAACACCCTGGTCCAATTACAGTCTGATATACCCCAAACTCATAAACCCTAAACCCCACAACCATTCGGGCTCTAAATTTGCGTGTTTTTGGCATGCTCATAATCTAGAAAGTCAAGGAAATGTGTTGGTTCGTAATTTTTTCACCTCCCTACATACATCTGTTTTTTTCGGGGAAAGTCGATGATCAGGGCTCAGTACCTAGAGGTTCGGGAAGGTGAGGCGTCTGCGCTAAGCGTTGACTCCAAAGCCATCATATCAAAGCCTGACTACTAGTACCACTATACTCCTATGCCTTAGGGTTTTCCCGATGGTATGGTACCATCGTATACACAGGAAGCCTGTTCTAACCCGCAGAGGTGTTGTAAACCGCCATCCTCCTGAAGCCCTCCTGGAGATCTAGAAGCCCCGAAGTTTAGGGTTTAGGGTTTAGGGGAAGCCTGCTAGACGCTACCTTGCCGGCCAACTTGTCAAGTGGGCGTTGGCCGACTTCTTTTGCGTTGCTTGAGAAACCAAAGGTGTATGCATATTTCTGTGGCTACCATCACTCCTCCGGCTTCCCCTATACCTAAACCCCCAAAAGTAGGTA